AAATGGATTTTTTGGGGCTTTGTATAATTTGATGTACACAACATGCCTGCCACTTTGAAGATGCAAAATATTTTTTTTTGTGAAACAAACAAGAAATAAGACCAAAAAAAAAAAGAAAACTTGAGCGTGCATAACTATTCACCACCCCAAAGTCAAGACTTTGTAGAGCCACATTTTGCAGCAATTACAGCTGCAAGTCTCTTGGGGTATGTCTCTATATGCTTGGCACATCTAGCCACTGGGATTTTTGCCCATTCTTCAAGGCAAAACTGCTCTAGCTCCTTCAAGTTGGATGGGTTCCACTGGTGTACAGCAATCTTTAAGTCATACCACAGATTCTCAATTGGATTGAGGTCTGGGCTTTGACTAGGCCATTCCAAGACATTTAAATGTTTCCCCTTAAACCACTCGAGTGTTCGCTTTAGCAGTATGCTTAGGGTCATTGTCCTGCTGGAAGGTGAACCTCCATCCCAGTCTCAAATCTCTGGAAAACTGAAACAGTTTTCCCTCAAGAATTTCCCTGTATTTAGCGCCATCCATCATTCCTTCAATTCTGACCAGTTTCCCAGTCCCTGCCGATGAAAAACATTGGCAGGGACTGTGAAACTGGTCAGAATTGGATGGAATGATGGATGGCGATATGTTTGGGGAGTCTCCCACATGCCTTTTGGCGAACACCAAACGTGTTTGCTTATTTTTTTCTTTAAGCATTGGCTTTTTTCTGGCCACTCTTCCATAAAGCCCAGCTCTGTGGAGTGTATGGCTTAAAGTGGTGCTATGGACAGATACTCCAATCTCCGCTGTGGAGCTTTGCAGCTCCTTCAGGGTTATCTTTGGTCTCTTTGTTGCCTCTCTGATTAATGCCCTCCTTGCCTGGTCTGTGAGTTTTGGTGGGCGGCCCTCTCTTGGCAGGTTTGTTGTGGTGCTATATTCTTTCCATTTTTTAATAATGGATTTAATGGTGCTCCGTGGGATGTTCAAAGTTTCTGATATTTTTTTATAACCCAACCCTGATCTGTACTTCTCCACAACTTTGTCCCTGACCTGTTTGGAGAGCTCCTTGGTCTTCATGGTGCCGCTTGCTTGGGGGTGCCCCTTGCTTAGTGGTGTTGCAGACTCTGGGGCCTTTCAGAACAGGTGTATATATACTGAGATCATGTGACACTTAGATTGCACACAGGTGGACTTTATTTAACTAATTATGTGACTTCTGAAGGTAATTGGTTGCACCAGATCTTATTTAGGGGCTTCATAGCAAATGGGGTGAATATATCGTGGTCCTCTGTGTGGGTTCGATCCCCGGGACCACCCATACACAAAAATGTATGCACGAATGACTGTAAGTCGCTTTGGATAAAAGCGTCTGCTAAATGGCATATTATTATTATTATATACGCACGCATCACTTTTCTGTTATATATTTTTTAGAATTTTTTGAAACAAGTTATCTTTTTCATTTCACTTCACCAATTTGGACTATTTAGTGTATGTCCATTACATGAAATCCAAATAGAAATCCATTTAAATTACAGGTTGTAATGCAACAAAATAGGAAAAACGCCAAGGGGATGAATACTTTTGCAAGACACTGTATATTTAACCCATCTTCCATGTGATAGCCAGAATTACCTATTCACTATATGTTCTGCATTCTCGTCATGTCCCTGTCTCCGAAAATAAATATGATGGTCAAATGAACCAGTCTGGTAACATGTTTCCTCTGCAATTATTATTTCATTATTTCATTTCAACATGCTCTCATTAGAATGACTCTACTGCATTACCAATAATACATTACATTGGGAATATGTAGATTGAAATGCAAGCATGGCTGAAATAATTGGAAATGTATAATTATGTCAATTAGGCTTTATGTCAATTTCTGGGTGAAATACAGAAGGTAGGGATGACCAATATATTAACTACATGATGTTATCGATTTCAGCAAACTGCAGTCCCGAGCATCGGTCTCCAGTGGTTTGATGCTAGTGACATCTAGTGGCTGACAGAGACATTGTCCTTTATAGTGAGAGAAACATCATGAACCGCTGCAGTAACTCCAGGGTATACTGTAGATGCCCCATACCAAATCAACCCATATAACGCCCTATGCACCCTATACACTCGTGTAGATCTGAGAGAAGTGGATAGGTGCCAGGTAGCTTAGCGGTCAAGAGCGTTGTGCCATTAACCGAAAGGTCGCTGGTTCTAATACCCGAGCCGACTAGGTGAAAAATCTGCTAAGGCACTTAACCCTAATTGCTCCTCTAAATCGCTCTGGATAAGAGCGTCTGCTAAATGACAAAAAAATAAATAAGTGTACGCAATATGGCAACAATTCCAGCTGGCTGGTGGTGTTATTCCTATTTATAAATTGTGTGGGTCGATCCCTGAATACTGACAGTCTGACTGTATGACAAAACATTTATTTTTAGTACCCTAATTACGTTGGTAATCAGTTTATAATAGCAATAAGGCACCTCGGGGGTTTGTGATATATGGCCAATATACCACACGGCTAAGGGCTGTGTCCAGGCACTCAACGTTGCGTGCTAGAACAGCCCTTAGGCGTGGTATATTGGCCATATACCACACATCCTCGGGCCTTAATGCTTAAATAATCCTCTCAGATTTCCACAAGGGGGTAGGGGCTAATAGCAGTTGAGTCACTATCACAAGTCAAGTCCATATCCGCTGAGAGAAGTAGATAGGGCCAAGCAAAATGGTGAAAGTTCCACCTAGCCTGTCATATAAGGTGGCACTATTACCATATTGGTTACATAGCTAAAGAAGAAGTAAACTACAGTGGTCAGTTTGGGATAGAGCGATAGAATACACAGTAGGTGACAACGTTTGGAGGGTTGCAGCTAGAAATTAAACTTCTAAAGGGTTTGATTTGGTCCATGGCATTGTACATGACTAGTATCTGACTAGTGTCTTAATGTGATATGTGGTTGTCCCACCTAGCTATATTGAATGCACACACTGTAAATCGCTCTGGATGAGAGCGTCTGGTGAATGACTCAACTGTACAAATGTACTAGACTAGTGAGTGACTAACACTAGCAGCCACAAGGTGGCGATATACAATACAAGATAAACTGTAGTACTGTTGTGTGATGCTGCATTGAATTATGCAGAACCAAAATGTTTAGGTTGAAAGTAAATATACACAGGGCACCATTTCATTATAAATCTGTAAAAACTAGTTTTAATGGCAAAAAAACATGAAAATGACAAATATGGAAACTGACTCCTTTATAAAAACGAACTGTTATTACTGTATTTATGACAATAAATATAGACTGCACCATGGACAGCAGATGATCAAAACAATATATATTTATATGACTATCCAATGAGTGCAGTTAGCTTTTCTACCCCGAATGCGTATTCTTATTCCAAGATTTAGTCTCAACAAGATAGTAGAAAATAAGATATAATTCTAACCCTGATTCTTCAAAACAAACTGATAACATATTGTAAAAAATGAACAATATTTAAAGATGGAATCCACAGTGGGGAAACGGCACCACTGCCTGCCCCACGGCCTTTGCTTTTGTTTTGTTGATGAAGCAGACCCGGGAGCGTCCGTCAGCGTGGTAAAAAAAGCAGTACATATTCTGCCATTCTAGCGTGCGTGCAGCGATGTCCGAGTGAGAAAAAAAAAGTGTTAGTTGTTTGCGATATTACAACAATAAAGAAGTTAGTGCAAACGGACGTGGCTGTTTCACCATTAAGGATTCCAACTTAAAAACAAAAATAAATAATCACAGTCATTAAGAATGACATTTCAAGCCACAATCTTTACAGAAATTGCACTTCAAAATACTGGTCAGGGTGAGTAGATTTCTAGTACTATATTTGGTCGTACAGGTGTAGGATCTTAATTTTCCTGCACCACATTAAATGCAGATGAGCTTTGTGATTTACATGAATTCACAGAAAACTCACACTAACACACGGTTATATTGACAGTATTGCACTTTTCTTGTAGCCTACTTTTGGCCAGCTAATAGCCTAACCACCGATCAAGCAACATTATGGTCTAAACGGCGGCAGGTAGCTTAGTGGTTAAGAGCATTGTGCCAGTAACCGAAAGGTCGCTGGTTCTAATCCCCTCACCGACTAGGTGATGAATCTGTTGATGTGCCCTTGAGCAAGGCACTTAACCCTAATTGTTCCTGTAAGTCGCTCTGGATAAGAGCATCTGCTAAAAGACTAAAATGTAAATGTTCAAATCCTGTTTCTGCAGGATTATTTTGCTGTGACAATATATGTCAAATTAAGATCCTACACCTGTACATCATACAGTATAAACACAGCAAGGGTAGTATAATGTATTATAGAGTTATCAAAGGTGTCAACAAGGGGAGTGTTAAACTAAATAAAATCTTTATAATCTACATTTCATTCCAGCCCTCACAAAGGATAGTACAGAATTGCATAAGAGCACATCAATAATAAATTAACAGCAATGACATCAAACAAAAGAAGAGGGTAAAAAAAGATTACAAAACATATACTGCATATTCAACGTATCTATATATTATTCATATCATTACATAATAAAATTATAGTCAGAAGCCAATACGCTTCTGAGTGCTCTTCTTGGATTCCTTTAGTCTTCTTCAGTCTCAAAACCAGAACTGCTTCTAGCTCTGAGATCAAATGGCACTGTATCCCCTATGTAGGAAATACGCTGCAATATCAGATGTACCCAAGACAAGTCTGTTGCACTGTTCCCTAAAGGTGCTCCTTCCTATCAGAGTTTAGTCTGGAAAGAAGAAGGTGTTTTTTTGGCGTTGGGTAGTCACTGGAAAAACACTTCCTCCTCTAACGTGTGTATCTATATTTCTTTCTGTGTGTGTAGTTCCCTTGGACAAAGTGCTCGTCTGGGCACCTGTAGTGTGTGAGGTGCCTCTTAGCTCTGTCCCAGTGAACAGTAGTTTAGTTTCTTCCCTTTGACTCCAACTCCCATGATTCTCCGGTCTCATGGATCACACCTGTACATGGGCCGTACCTGCCTTGTCTGGGAGAGGTCCTGACTGTCTGCACCCAGCCCCGGCCTCTCCCTCTCCTACCCTGTTGTCCTGGTAGCTGGTGTGCATGCTAGTGCTAGGCCTAGCAGCCTCTTTCAGAGTGTTTTGATGGTGCTTCAGCAATGAAGGCCAACTAAGTGGCCCTTTGTCCAGTCCAGCTCTCCTGGTCCTGGACTGGTCCATCTCTGCTGGGGTAGGGGTGTTCAGGGCTGTCATGGGCCGGTCCATTCCTGTTAAGGTAGAAGTGTCCTGGGATGACCTGGTCCGGTCTATTGCTGCTTGGGTAGGGGTGTTCTGGGCTGCCATGGACCGGTCCATCCTTGCCGGGGTAGGGGTGTTCTGTGCTGCCACAGGGCTAGTCACCAGGCTGTAGTGTGGACTGGTCCTGGGCTGTACCATGTGGATCCCCCCAATGGGGATCATCAGGTTGGGGGTCCTGGCTAATTGCTGGGAGTGGAGAGGCAGGTGGCTGAGGACACCCGCGTGGCCCCCTCGGGATGGTCTAGTCCTGGGGGACAGGAGAGGGGGACGCACCTCGTCGTCCTCCTGAACAGAGTAGCTCTTCAGCTGGGTGGGGATGAGGGGAAGGAAGGGTGTAAAGGTTAAAACCACAACGCAACCAAACCACAACGTCAACACGACTTTGACACAAATTTAGAGGCTGATGGCACACTCCTTGTGGTTACAATCTCAGACATCTAATGATAGGTGTGTCTCATTTTATCACCGACTGCCCAGAACAAACACGTTTGTGTCTATTTGGGATCTCTCTTGCATTATATTCAGGTTTTGTGTTGTTGGTTTGGTTTGAATCATATAAAAGTAGAGAGTTACCCTTCCTTCCCTTTCCTATAAAGGTATGACTTTAAAATAACCCTGAATGTACCGGCCTGCGCATCTATATTTGTTTTGGATGTTTATTTTACTCGGATTTGGCTGTTTAGCCTGCACAGGAACTGCTTTGTGTGCAGAAAGGGGTTTATTTAATCTCTGAACCGAACCGGCTAACCAAACAGAGACAGATCACGTCGCAGGTGAGTGAGCATCACTGTGGTTATCAAACCAATCCGTCCCCACGTTATAGACATTAAATTCAATTATGTAACAAAAATACAAGAGAGCCAAACAGTCTTCCACAGTTACCTTGATCAAATATCAACAAGGTCGGACACAAGGTGTGTCTGTGTTGTGCTCTAAGGGTGACAGAGAGAGACAGTGAAATACTCACCAGCCTTGCCTTGGAGCTTGTAGCTGTAGCAGGTCTGTCCCTGTGGGGATTTGAAGATGGGTGTCTGGACAGACAGGCTCTGTGTTGAGCAGGGATGGTTGCCTGAGGGGCAGGGGAGACACCGGTGGGGGACTTGGGCTTGACAAGCGAGAGGCCTCTTAGGGGGGAAGGATGTCTTTCTAGGGAGGAGGAGACATGACAACCTAGCAGGGACAGAGAGGAGGGTGGGGAGGGGTAGGAGGGGGCAGGGGACAGGTTATACCTAGGAGACAGGGATGAGAGTGGTGGAGTGGAGGGATGGCAGGAGACAGGGGAGAGGTAATGCCTGGGGGAAGGGCATCGGAGAGGGGACAGGTCCGCTCTAGGGGATAGGGAGTGAGCAGGAGAAAGGTGATGGGTTAGGGATGGGGATGGAGATAGGTCTGGAGTTGGTGATGGACAGTGCAGTGGGGAGCGGTGACCATCGGGGTCCAGGTGCCTCCTCCGGGAGAACAGAGCTCTCTTCTTGCTGGGGGAACCAGCAGGGTAACAGAGGCTTGGCTCCCGGGGATTCAGCCTCTGAGGCTGGCTGAGCTGGCTTGACCCTGATGGTCTGGTCCTGTCCCGGTCTGGTGTGGTTCTGTTCTGGTCTGGGGGTTTGGGTGGCTTCAGGTGGCTTGTTGAGGTGGTGGAAGGGTCTTCATGGGACCAGGACTCCTCCTCACCATCATCATCTTCATCATCATACTCGTTGTCATCATCGTCTTCTTCAGTTTCGCTGACATCAGAGTATCGGTGCTCGTCCTGTCCTGTCTCTGGCCAGACTGAGCAGTCTAAGAGTATTAAGCAACATAACAAAGTATTATTGGATACTTCTAAGGTAGACACTGCAACATACAGTGCCTTGCAAAAGTGTTCATCCCCCATGGTGTTTTTACTATTTTGTTGCATTACAACCTGTAATTTAAATTGATTTTTATTTGAATTTCATGTAATGGACATACACAAAATAGTCCAAATTGGTGAAGTGAAATGAAAAAATAATTTTGACAAAAATGTCAAAAAAATAAATAACGGAAAAGTGGTGCGTGCATACAGTGGGGAAAAAAAGTATTTAGTCAGCCACCAATTGTGCAAGTTCTCCCACTTAAAAAGATGAGAGAGGCCTGTAATTTTCATCATAGGTACACATCAACTATGACAGACAAATTGAGAGAAAAAAATTCCAGAAAATCACATTGTAGGATTTTTAATGAATTTATTTGCAAATTATGGTGGAAAATAAGTATTTGGTCACCTACAAACAAGCAAGATTTCTGGCTCTCACAGACCTGTAACTTCTTCTTTAAGAGGCTCCTCTGTCCTCCACTCGTTACCTGTATTAATGGCACCTGTTTGAACTTGTTATCAGTATAAAAGACACCTGTCCACAACCTCAAACAGTCACACTCCAAACTCCACTATGGCCAAGACCAAAGAGCTGTCAAAGGACACCAGAAACAAAATTGTAGACCTGCACCAGGCTGGGAAGACTGATTCTGCAATAGGTAAGCAGCTTGGTTTGAAGAAATCAACTGTGGGAGCAATTATTAGGAAATGGAAGACATACAAGACCACTGATAATCTCCCTCGATCTGGGGCTCCACGCAAGATCTCACCCCGTGGGGTCAAAATGATCACAAGAACGGTGAGCAAAAATCCCAGAACCACACGGGGGGACCTAGTGAATGACCTGCAGAGAGCTGGGACCAAAGTAACAAAGCCTACCATCAGTAACACACTACGCCGCCAGGGACTCAAATCCTGCAGTGCCAGACGTGTCCCCCTGCTTAAGCCAGTACATGTCCAGGCCCGTCTGAAGTTTGCTATAGTGCATTTGGATGATCCAGAAGAGGAATGGGAGAATGTAATATGGTCAGATGAAACCTAAATATAACTTTTTGGTAAAAACTCAACTCGTCGTGTTTGGAGGACAAAGAATGCTGAGTTGCATCCAAAGAACACCATACCTACTGTGAAGCATGGGGGTGGAAACATCATGCTTTGGGGCTGTTTTTCTGCAAAGGGACCAGGACGACTGATCCGTGTAAAGGAAAGAATGAATGGGGCCATGTATCGTGAGTTTTGAGTGAAAACCTCCTTCCATCAGCAAGGGCATTGAAGATGAAACGTGGCTGGGTCTTTCAGCATGACAATGATCCCAAACACACCGCCCGGGCAACGAAGGAGTGGCTTCGTAAGAAGCATTTCAAGGTTCCTGGAGTGGCCTAGCCAGTCTCCAGATCTCAACCCCATAGAAAATCTTTGGAGGGAGTTGAAAGTCCGTGTTGCCCAGCGACAGCCCCAAAACATCACTGCTCTAGAGGAGATCTGCATGGAGGAATGGGCCAAAATACCAGCAACAGTGTGTGAAAACCTTGTGAAGACTTACAGAAAACGTTTGACCTGTGTCATTGCCAACAAAGGGTATATAACAAAGTATTGAGAAACTTTTGTTATTGACCAAATACTTATTTTCCACCATAATTTGCAAATAAATTCATAAAAAATCCTACAATGTGATTTTCTGGATATTTTTTTCTCATTTTGTCTGTCATAGTTGACGTGTACCTATGATAAAAATTACAGGCCTCTCTCATATTTTTAAGTGGGAGAACTTGCACAATTGGTGGCTGACTAAATACTTTTTTCCCCCACTGTATATACACCTGTTCTGAAATGCCCCAGAGTCTACAACACCACTAAGCAAGGGGCACCACCAAGCAATCGGCACCATGAAGACCAAGGAGCTCTCCAAACAGTTGTGGAGAAGTACAGATCAGGGTTGGGTTATAAAAAGATATCAGAAACTTTGAACATCCCACAGAGCACCATTAAATCCATTATAAAAAAATTGAAAGAATTTGACACCACAACAAACCTGCCAAGAGAGTGCCGCCCACCAAAACTCACGGACCAGGCAAGGAGGGCATTAATCAGAGAGGTAACAAAGAGACCAAAGATAACCCTGAAGGAGCTGTCCATAGGACCACTTTAAGCCGTATACTCCACAGAGCTGGGCTTTACGGAAGAGTGGCCAGAAAAAAGCCATTGCTTGAAGAAAAAAATAAGCAAACACATTTGGTGTTCACCAAAAGCCATGTGGGAGACTCCCCAAACATATGGAAGAAGGTACTCTGGTCAGCTGAGATGAAAATTGAGCTTTTTGGCCTTCAAGGAAAGCGCTATGTCTGGCGCAAACCCAACACCTCTCATCACCCTGAGAACACCATCCCCACAGTGAAGCATGGTGGTGGCAGCATCATGCTGTGGGGATGTTTTTCATCGGCAGGGACTGGGAAACTGGTCAGAATTGAAGGAATAATGGATGGCGCTAAATACTGGGAAATTCTTGAGGGAAAACTGTGTCAGTCTTTCCAGAGATTTGAGACTGGGACGGAGGTTCAGCTTCCAGCAGGACAATGCCCCTAAGCATACTGCTAAAGCGACACTCGAGTGGTTTAAGAGCCCAGACCTCAATCCAATTGAGAATCTGTGGTATGACTTAAATATTGCTGTACACCAGCGGAACCCATCCAACTTGAAGGAGCTGGAGCAGTTTTGCCTTGGAGAATGGGCAAAAATCCCAGTGGCTAGATGTGCCAAGCTTATAGAGACATACCCCAAGAGACTTACAGCTGTAATTGCTGCAAAAGGTGGCTCTACAAAGTATTGACTTTGGGGGGATGAATAGTTATGCACGCTCAAGTTTTCTGTTTTTTTGTCTTATTTCTTATTTGTTTTACAATAAAAAATATTTTGCATCTTCAAAGTGGTAGGCATGTTGTGTAAATCAAATGATACAAACCCCCAATAAATACATTTTAATTCCAGGTTGTAAGGCAACAAAATAGGAAAAATGCCAAGGGGGTGAATACTTTCGCAAGCCACTGTAACATCATCTTACCTTCTTCAGCCTCAGTCTCTTCCAGGGAAGAGCCGGTCATTGGCCCGTCATGGCATTTCTTCCCATGGGCCTTGGACTTCATGTGTTTAGTGAGGTTCCCTGGAACAACAGAGAACCATTACATTACCATCACTGACATCCCTACAACACACTGGATGAACAGAGATGTCAACTCCAAGCAGGTCAGCAGTACCCTTTTCCTTAAAAATCTATTTTATAGGAGAGACCTTGTCCCAATAAGGCAGCCATTCCAGTACCTATCCAACTATCCATACCCACTAGAGAGTCACAGTCATGTGACTATCTATAACCTCAGTAAGGCAGCAATCCTGTGTCTATCCAAAGCTCACCTTTGGTTTTGAAGGCGAAGCTGCAGTGCTTGCAGACGTACGGTCGTGAGTCGGTGTGCAGGCGGATGTGTTTATGCAGCATACTAGGCTTCTTACAGCGGATGCCACACTCCTCACACACATATCTGCCCCGGCCTCGACCCCGCACGTACACATACTCCTCACTAGACCTGTAGCTGACGGACGAGAGAGAGAGAGAGAACATTTTTTATTTAGTGTAGTGTTATTATGTATAGGTAATGCTACCACCAAAAAACCTTGGTGATATCAACAAAACCTTGTGACTTGATGCTAGTGCTCTTTCAATAACAACTAGGAATGGAGAGGAACCTGAGATAACAGAGTTCCCTAAATTCTGATCTTTTGATCTGAATCCCGGGTCACATTTTCAGTGGTGAGTTCATTTCCACCCCTGATGAAAACCACAGTCCATATGTACTGTAAATAGCACCTGCAAGCTGCTATAATGTTTCTATTTATCGCTGTATCTGTTTGGCAAACGCCCTTCTTACACAGTGAACTCAGTTCAGTTGGTTAGGGGGTCCACCCTGTGTGTGTGTGTGTGTGTGTGTGTGTGTGTGTGTGTGTGTGTGTGTGTGTGTGTGTGTGTGTGTGTGTGTGTGTGCTACTTTTGGGTGGAGGGTGTTCTGGTTTGCGGTTATAAAAGCCTGACTGTGTGAAGCTGAAGTGGGGGCTGTGCAGTGGGACTCTAACCCCCATCACCACCCTCTCACACCACCCCCACCCAGCCCAGTCCAAACACAGAGAGCCTGCAACATCAGCTGGGGTTTGGAACAGCAAGCCAATAAAAACACACCAGAGAGGGAGGAAACCCTGGGCTCAGACCAGCTGCTCCAAATAAACAGAAAACAAAAACGTCTTTCTATTAATATGATCGGTAATTACAATGATAGCTAACATGCTTAATTTTCTCAACTTAATCCCTGTTTGGTGCCTTAAAAGCGATGTTTTGGCTGAATGAATGAGACAGGTGTTGCGAGGTCCTTACAGGGGTTCAATGTGGAGCTTTCATTAAACCATATCAGCTGTGTTTGTGTGTTTGTGTGTTTGTGTGTGTGTGTGTGTGTGTGTGTGTGTGTGTGTGTGTGTGTGTGTGTGTGTGTGTGTGTGTGTGTGTGTCGATTGTTACATGGAGCAGGCCTTTTCTGAAAAACTCTTTAAATACCAGCCCCTCATATCACGCGTGGACAGCCTAGGATACAAATGCAAGTTGGTGCCATTGAAATTTGGCAGTCTTGGCCACATACATAGGCTTACTGTACGTGGCCTTCAGATTGCAGGCCTGACTAAGAGTAGAACAAAACAACTGGCTAGGTACTGCTCTGTTTCAGCTGTTATGGGCAGCCTAGCTGTGTGGAGGAGAAGGTACTGCTCTGTTTCAGCTGTTATGGGCAGGCTAGCTGTGTGGAGGAGAAGGTACTGCTCTGTTTCAGCTGTTATGGGCAGGCTAGCTGTGTGGAGGAAAAGGTACTGCTCTGTTTCAGCTGTTATGGGCAGGCTAGCTGTGCGGAGGAAAAGGTACTGCTCTGTTTCAGCTGTTATGGGCAGGCTAGCTGTGTGGAGGAGAAGGTACTGCTCTGTTTCAGCTGTTATGGGCAGGCTAGCTGTGTGGAGGAAAAGGTACTGCTCTGTTTCAGCTGTTATGGGCAGGCTAGCTGTGTGGAGGAGAAGGTACTGCTCTGTTTCAGCTGTTATGGGCAGGCTAGCTGTGTGGAGGAGAAGGTACTGCTCTGTTTCAGCTGTTATGGGCAGGCTAGCTGTGTGTAGGAGAAGGTGCTTTTTGTTTCCTTGCATCAACAACCTTTGAAATGTTTGAATAATTTATGATGTAATGTGATTTGTGGATTTAAATAAAGTATTTCAAATGTGTGTGTGCGTGTGTGTGTGTGGATGCATGCGTGTGTACGTGCCCACTGACAAAAAATCCCACATGCTGAACTGATATACAGCATGTAGGCATATTGATGGCCACCAACCCACGCAATTCATAGTTTACTCTGACACCCATTCACAGATCCTGCCCCTAGCTTTATCTTCAGAGAGACAGCCTACACTAAATCCTCCCTCACTCAGCCTTCACTCCCCCTTCACTGTAGCCATACTGAAAGGTCATTGTTTGACTTCCTCTCTCTCACTGCTTTGTCTTATCATCCCGCACACACATCGGCCTGAACAGATGGAATTGGCGGGCTCAGAGCTCCACACAGCACAGCATGGAAGGGAGATGAGTCATTCCCAGCTAGCACATCGGGGTTTTGGGAACATTGTGGGAACTAATGTTTTTGGTTTCATATTTGGTTGTGGGAACAAAGCCATACGTTTCCTGACAGGTAAAACTGAACGATTTTTAAACGTTCTGAGAAGTGAAAATTTGGCCTGTTCTGAGAAGGTTTTACTCTGGTCCCTTGAAAGATTTCCTGGGAGTTTTTATTAACGCTCTGAGAACGAAAATTAAAGGTTATTTGGAGGTTTTTGAATAACTTCCTTAAAACTTTCACTGAATGTGTGGCCAATTAGTGGGCGCGGCCAACACACCTGAACACACTTAACAAGACAGAGGATAGAGAGCGTACTCTTTGCCTTGTCCAGTCAGTTTGCCCCCTCCGCAAAATACAGCTGACAGATCTTTTATAAATCATTCGGATAAAACGTGAAGTTTAGTCATTAAAAACCCCTGTAGGTCTAAGCCCTTAGATCGCAATATCTACTAAGCTAACGTATCTAATTGTTTTAGGATGGTAATAAAATGGATCATTTAGCTATTTGATTTGGAATTTTAGGACCCCTGTTGGTATATTAGTTCGCTCAAACGCTTCGGTCTGGACAGTTGGTTTTGTGAGAAGACATCTTCGAAATTAGGGTGTCCGCGTCAGAGAGTTCAGACGACTGACGTAAAGCTTCTGGATGTCATAGGGCAAAACAAACAACGCTGTCGTGTTCATGAGAGGCTCATCTTTCATCTTATTCATTTGTAGCTCAAACGTTCAGGTTCTACAGACAATTTTGTGACGATTTTCTTGTCCGGATCCTCTCAAGTGTAGAAAAACACAGCTTTTAAAAGCCCCATGTTATGGAATAGGCACAAACTTCATATTGAGCTGCAGCCACTGCAAGACATGGCAAGTCTCTAGCATAAACACACAGGGAGCTATTCAAAATGACATCAACAATAAAAACAGGACAATGCTGACGGGGCACTTGCCCTTGTGCCCCTTATGGGCAGCTTGTTCTGAGACGGAATGTATGTTTTTAAATATCATTCTTAGAATGTTCTCTGAACGTTACAAAAGTTTTCTTGTGGTTTTTATGGAAAGTTTTCTTAACGTTCTCGGAACAATTTGAGAACATGACTTTAAATAGGAAACCTGTAGGAAACATTATGTCGAGGGTACTGAAATTCCCACAGAATAATGTTGTTTCTTAACGTTCTCTGAACTATTTGAGAACATTCCCAATGTCAAACCAGTTGGAAAACGTTCCTAGAACATTACCAAGATTGAAATTAAATGTAACCATGTTTGAATGTTTAGGAAACGTTCTGTTAAATTAATGAAATACCAAAAAAAATCTGTTTTTTTTGTCAAGTTCCTTAAATGTGCTGAGAATGTTCCAAAGCCAAGCAACTATCCTACACTATTCCCAGAAAGTTGTGGGAAGGTTGTATGCAAAATAACCATAGGACAAACACACTCTCCCCAAGCTCTAAGAAACATATGGTTCTCAGAACGTTATGTGCTAGCTGGGTTGTGACTGATGAGAAGAAGGCTGTGAACCTGAGTCACAACAACAACAACAGGTTCCCAGCGGTACTCAGAGAGATGCAGAGGAAAGCACAGATGGCACCTCAGTGGCACATTCACAGATATGATGGAGGAGACCAAGTGTTCTCAGGAGTTTCAGTTATTTCTGCTTCATAACCTCAGTGTGATTCAATCTAGCTGTGTGGATTAACGTAAATGAATTTAGATGAATCAGAGCGCTCTCGATCTCTCAGAGCTCTCTCTCCTATCTGACACATCCTACATAAGTCCCATTACTAGAGAAGCAGAGAACACTTTCTTCATCTGGGTACTGTACCTTCCTCTCCCTCCTCTGAAAATAGTATCCCTCTTATGTTCTCTGTCTACAAATAGATACACATAAACCCAGATGTACAGAGAAATCATGTAAATAGACGTAAGGTTCTCATTCATTCAATCAATCACCATCTAAAATGGGAATGAAATTGGGAATGAAACTTTCCCTTTACAGCTTAATGGCCAGAACTATTGACTGTGTTGGGTGTAACTGAGCCTCTACAGGGTACAGTAGAGGAAGCTGGGTAGTTGTTGGTCATTTCCTGGCTAGGGCCACTCAACAGACGTGCTCTGTTGGTGTAGTCAGACAGGGAACCCTTAGCCCCTCATGTCCTGCAGAGGGGAAAGACAACATTTCTCAGCTCTCCACAAACGACACAGAGACCCAATACCCTCACTGTCTGTGACTAGTAGCTTACAGTACCATGGCTTGTACTGTATAGAGATAAAGTTGTAAGGCTGAGTGTAGTTTCTAATGTCCTTATGAATGTAAAGCCAATAAAGCTTTGCATCTTCATTTTTTTTCAACTGTAAAATGTAATCAGTCATAGCCTACTCACCCTCCCTCACAGATCCAGATTCGAGGTGGAGGTTCTCTACATTTGCTGGTTGACTCGGCCTCCGTTTCCTTTTCCTCCTCTTCCTTCTCTTCCTCCTCCTCTCGGTCTTTCTTTAGCTCCTTGTCCTCTGCGGATTGCTCTTGCTTTGTTGTCTCGACACGGTAGCTGTCGCCGGGCAGAGTGGCTTGTACCTACACTCGAGAGAGACATGCAGGGCAAATTCACCAACCCTGCTCCAGCAAGATCAGGCCAAGGAGACAGAGATGGGGGGGGAATTCATCATAACTTATGTGTTTCAGTATTTATCGAAATTATACTGTAGCATTACAATTTACAATATAGGCCTACAGGCTTTAAATGAGAAATAAGGCCAAACTTTAAGACTGTATTGGGTCATATACAAAATATAGTATGAAAGACTACAGCACATAGTACAGTATGGGACAAGGCTAAATAAATACATACTGTACTGCATATTTCACATTGGCCATTCTATGAGGAGGCCTACAGTAAAGTCTATTTACCTCAGAATGGCATGGCATCTTCATGTCGGTGGGCTCTGGTGGGGTCTCTGCTTGGGTGGATGACATGGGAGACATGGTGTAGATGGTGGAGCTGACCCTCTGCTTGCAGTCCAACAGGGACAGAGCTGTCTTGCTGGATAGGCCTGGAGGGTTGGGGTCATACTCGCTGGTAGACCAAGAGGAGTACACTGAGGGCTGGTGGTCAGTCGAGGTGGAGGGATTTGGCTTGGCGTAGTTCAGATAACACCAGCTGTGAGAGGTGGTGGACTGGAGGGTCGGATATGAAGTTCCTTCTTGACTTATGGGAGTACACACCCTAGGTAAACATGTTGTAATTTCAACCTTTTCTTCTTTTGTGGATGTTTCCGTGATTACGTTTCCTACGTAACTCTCCTCTACTTCTTCCTCCTCCTTCACTCGTTTCTGCTGCTGTTTGGACTCAAGGCTGAAATCGACACTGTTTGAAGGGGATAACATCCTCTTGTTGCTCCCTGAGCCCGAAGATCTACAGCCCTCCTCAGACCACAACTGGCTGCCTGGAGGCAAAGGCAAAGTCAAGTGGTTGCCTGGAGGCAGGGCCAACTGGCTGACTGGTAGCAGAGTCTCAGACAACATCTTGCTGCCTACAGGCAGAGTCATGACCAGGTGGCTGTTATGTTCAGGAATTGGGATATTTCTATTGCCACTGTTTAACCCAGAACACACAGGTTCCTGGGACCTAGATGTTGTGGTTTGGGACAGAGTGGTGTATATGGCACTGGCTGGGGTGTTGGTGTCTGCCTGTAGCCGGACTACTGCTACTGCTGGTGATATGGAGGGCTGGAGAAACTCTGGGCTATGTGTGATGTTAGGGTGAGGGTGGAGGATCTGCGGAGGATGTGTTACAAACTCTGAATGTCCACCATGACTGTGAGTTGGGACTGGGATCTCCAGCTTCAGGCCTGTGGACATTGGAAGGTAGTTCGCCCTAGCAATCCCTAATGGGCACTGGGTGGGGAGGGGGTGGGGAGGGTAGACAGGGCGGGGTTGGGATTGGGGTTGGGCAGGGTGGATGTAGGTATGGACAGGACGCAGGGAGATAATTAGAGGTTTCCCTGAACAGAGAGGTGATGGGGCTACCCTCTGGAGGGGGTCAGGAGATTCTACAGAGTTCTTTGAGGGTAGGACTTCAGAGCAATGTCCGGTCAACTGAATACTTTGACCCAGTTTCCATTGTAAGGGGGGCTCTTGGCAAAGAGTTTGTACAGGGTTAAAGTACGTGGTTTCGCCTGACAGACGGGAACCAGCGGCCGGACTAAGGTGTCGAGGACCTGGGCTTAGTCTAGAAGAAGTGCTAGGACTGACAGGGTCAGGACTGGGGCTACAGTGAGAAGGGTTGTTCACCTTTAGTGCTGTGTGTTTGGAAGAAATGGAGGAACTGGGGTTCAGTTTTATTTCTGCGGGTCTGGCAGGCTGCTCCTCCTCTGGGTCCCTGACCGCAGTGTGTCTCATGAGGAGACATTTGCGTCTGTCTCTCCAGCCAGCTGCGGAGCGCTCAGGGGACAAACTGCTGTAGTCAAAGGACTTGCTTCGCATCTCCAACATCGCCATCAGGACAGACTGCTGCTGTGGGTCGTGAGGTGCTTGCTCTGAGGCTGACCGCCGCATCTCCCTTTTGTGAAGATGCAGCCCTGGGACGGTCAACATGTTAGGGGCCCTAGACCTCCTCAACGGTGTCCCAGCCAGGGTCTCCATGTCTCCGGGTCTGGTGGACTCCTCGAAGGATGCAGAGCGGCTAGATGCGTGGGATGCACAGCTGTCCTGGCTGGGGCTGCGAGGCAGGGAGATGGAGTCAAAGCTGGACATTGACTCCCCTGAAGACTGGGCGGCCTCTGCCAGGCGAATACGTTTCTTCTTCGGGGGCAGCTTCTCAATGGGTACCCCAGACAGGGTGAGGCTCCTCTGTGGCCACTGGAACTCCTCTGTCCTCTCAGTCTGTTTAGGCATTATGGATGCTGTTTCTGACTGTGTCTGAACAGACTCAATAACATTGGTGTTGGAATCCTCAGTGACGAATATCTCAGGGACTTGAACATTGTGTTGGCGCACCAGTTTGCGAGGTGTTGGTTTGGACGAGTGTTCCTGCGGTTGTTTCTGAGACACATCCTCATGAGATGGGAAACTAAAATGCGCCTCCTCTTTACCTTGACTCTCTGTAAACAAAGTGTCCTGTTTCTCAAATGAACTAGTATGCTGAATCACTGAGAAACATTTCGATGTGCCTCCCCGATCCTGCTCTAACCATGGCCATGAGTTTCTATTGCATGCTACACTTTTTTTGTCTCTGCCTTGCACCGACGTGGAGAAGTTGGGTATGGATAAAGACACAGGAGAGGATGGATCATCAGATTCAAAACTCTCCTCTTTCCTTCTCTTGCGCATTGCCAAAGCCCCTGGTTTGCTGATCGGATAGTGTATCAACTGTGAACGGTCCAGCTGGCATATTGTTGTATCAAGACTCTCTTGGGGAAGTCGTGCTATACAAAGACTTCTCTTGTGTGCCTTATAACCTTCCCAGTTCTTACATCCAAAACCACAGGACTCACACTCATATGGCTCTGGTTGACATTGCTTGTGGTCAGGAGGCACGACGGACATATTGTGATTGTAGAGTGTGTTGGAGCTACTGTGTAAACTATGTTCCTCTTTAGTGAATTCAGCACCAGGGTGTAGTTCGATAGCAGGCTGGCGTCGTAGCATCCCAATCCGGCGAGACAGTGTTTCAGACCGTTCATCGAAAGATTGGCTAAGGCGGAAGTTTTGTGGGAAGACGTCAGAGGTGGCATCAGTTGAACTAGCAGCAGAGGGCATAGAGAGGCTTCTCAGAAGAGGAGCCATGGAAGTGGATGACAGGCCTGCCGTTGAATCCACGTGTAGTGACTGGTGATGATGGAACTTCTCACACGGAACTCCCATAGTGATGGAACCACTGCATTTAAAGCCTGGGTCTCCAGGGTTGTTGGTGCTGTGGTGGACTACCGGCAGCTCTTTCAGAGATAGAGAAACCTTAGAGTTAGACTCATTGCTACTTCTCCTAGGCAGAGAGAACCTCCTGGGCTTAACGCTGTCGATCTTACTTGTATCAACCACAGCCTCGTTGATGGTGATGAGGTTGGTGATGTGGTCAATGACCTGCTTCTTGGGCACTGTGAATGGGATGCTCTTCTCCTGCTGTCCCTGGCCTCCAGAAGGCTGCTGGTCCTGATGCCGGGACATCCTCTGGAGGTGACCCAGACGGCCATATTTCCCCATGATGATCTCTGCGTAACTTTTGGCACTTGTTGCATTGGGTGGGCTGTCCTGCGACTGCTCAGTGCTCTCAGAGCGAGAGAAATAGCCAGACTCTGTGCTGCCTCTACTCCCTATACTCGCCATACCCAATGAGGAACTGATCGAGTCAGACGAGCCTAGAAGGCCACGTTTCCCTCGGCTCAAACGCATGGCCAGCCTCTTCTTGACAGCGTAGGAGTTGTCCATCGCACTGGACTGCTCTGTAGACCTCTCTGTGTCTTCATGGGTCTTCTCGTTGGCTACACTGCCTTGTCTCTCCAAGTTGGAGGAGGCAGCAGATGATGGCTGTCTGGTTTCGTCTTCTGACTCTGGCACCAGTTCTTCTAAAGCACTGGGCTCTCCAGAGGCGAGGCCGGCCTTCACCCTGTGGGTATGGGACTTCCGGTGCTTGTAGAGGTTGCTCTTGGTCTTGAAAGAAAAGCCGCAGGGAGCACAGGGGTAGGGCCTCTCTCCGGTGTGGGATCGGATGTGTTTCTGCAGGACACTGGGCTTGGCACAGGCACGGCCACAGTAAGAACACACATATTTCCCAGGTTTTCCAGGCTTACGCTCCCGTTTATGCTTCAGGGTGCCCTCCTGGTTCTCCTCTGTGGCAGGAGCCTCTGTAGACTGGGTGAAGGTGGTTGATGAGGAGGGAGTTGCCGGGGTCCCCCCAGACGAGGTCCGAGACACTCTAGTCGGTGTTGCCTCTGCCTTTGCATGCTTACCCCCCTCCACCAGTGGGGTGTCTGAATCAACGCTTTGCCTCTGATGTCGGAGACGCTTGCGCTCCCTCTTATTAGGCAGTTTGTGGTGTTGCTCTTGTTGTTGTTGAGGGCCTCCTTGCTTGGAGCGAGTCTGTTGTGTCTGCAGTTGATTGTTCTGGGAGTAGGGAGATTTGGGAGGCTCGGGGTCTGCGAGAGGCAGAGCAGACTCTCCTGGCTGAGGGTGGTCGTGACCTCCGGACTGCTCCCCAGTCGACAAGTGGCTGCAACTGTGCAACGCCTCCATAAAATGGAACAACAACCTCAGGTAGACACCTGGGATCCCTCCGCCTGAGACAGGCCACACAGGTCAAGCCTATTCATTCAACGGACTCTGGGATTGATGTATGATGAGTATTTTATTCCTTAGTTATATCTGGCTTTCGGGCTGTCTGTCCTCATACTTAGTACTTACTCCAGTAAAGCCATTAATTCAACGGATCCTGGGCAACAACTGTGAATTGTCATGCGGTGATGAGGAAGTCCTTTTCCATCCTGAGCCAAATAAGCTTCCCATATCGGAGCTCTGTTGGCTCCCAGAGTCAACAACTCTGCCCTCTAAGCCTCTGAGCCAGTCCCCTCAGATAGTCCCGTTGTCCGGTATTCAGATACTGGGTTGATCCCTTCCTCGTGTCAGGTCTTCAGATCCAGCTATCAGGACTTTTTGTTGGATGTCTGTGTCCTCTGATTCACTCCAGAGGACCTGAAAGAAGAAAAAATTGAGGGGTAGTCTCTATCGCTCCTTCTTTCTCTTTTTCACACACACACAGAGCACACACCAAATGAAATTACATCATGAAGACAGATGGCAGAAACAGTCTTTCTCCGCCCACTATGATCTAAAAATATTACTGTTGAAGGGAACAAAACAGCTAAAAAGCAAGGTTTTAATCACTTATTTCATGAAGATGTATTGGAAACAAGTTGGAAACAAAGCTTGGGGTTTGATCGTATTAAAGGGGCACATTTCTCATAGCGCCCAGTTTCAGTTTCACTTTGTCAACAACAACAAAAAACATTAGCATGATATAGAAAGTCCTTCAATGCAGAAAGAAGTCTGCTTCAAAAGTTCAAAACCATACACCTAAAATGTAGGTGTTCGTTACCAAACTGTGATTCGGAATCTGGCTACAAAAATATCTAATTTACCTGACTATTGTGAAGAAAACGAACCAAGTCATAGCATCCATTTTCAGATTCGGCAATCAATAGCCCCTTGAATAGTTCCCAATCAGCCGTGTGCATTGCACATTGCTCAATCATAAGATACTACGTGTTTCTCAGGGATCACACTCCCAAGACAAGATTACATAGTTTTCCTCTTGATTGCCCAAACTCATGAGCTTTTGTTGCAGCTGGAAATGCAAATAGTTTAATTCATCCAGATTCCCCCAAAGTCTCCCAACCCCAGCTGCTAACGCTAGCTAAAAAGAATTAGGCCAAATGCAAATGTTGTAGTCTGCATATGGATACCACCACAAGATAACACCAACACTTACTTCCTGATGGTGTAGTCTGCAGATAGATACCACCATAAGATAACACCAACACATCTCCCATTGGGAAGTGGATAACATCATTCATCTGTGAAAAAAATACACTACCGGAATCTAGTCAAATATTCATCTACAATAACACACTTGATTTCTAATTTCTCCCTATTGTAACTTTACACTGTTAAACAAGCAGACTTCTCTAATGATAGCAATTCACTGAAAGCACATTAAGTAATATAGATTTCACTAAATAATATGTTCTTTAATAGATTCTTATTTTCATACACCTAATGGCTCCAAAACGAAATGGCTCCAAAACTCTAACTGGAGTATTTAAAGATTTCTAAACACCAGGCAGCCAAATACAAACAATCTTTGTCATTTTAGCTTTGTATCATCTCTGTTTCTCATGAGGAAAATATATAAGGTGACACAGTGCAGAATCAGATAAGGGAGAAAATAAACTCCCTCTACTTTCTCTGCGCCAACATACTGCACTGTAGCAACAACCCAGTCATCCCACACACTAGATACGTTCCAATATCCACACTACCGCACCACCTAGAATGCATGCCCAATACATTGCTTCGTACTAGGAAGTATGCTAGGATGGTATTTGAACAGTGCCACTGATCAGCTGGTTGCAGCCTGCACCCAAGCTCCTCTGGAAGAGGGCAAAACCACAGGAGGTGCAAGCTGCTGGTCAATATAAAACAACTGATAACATGTTGCCATTCTTACAGTAGTACTGTAGAACTCTCTTATACAGTACCATACAGTGAATGGCGCCGGAGAAGATGGCTGCCGTTTTACAGCCCTCTAACCAATTCTACTATTATGTGTGTTTTTTGGCGTTATTTGTAATTTATTCTGTACATAATGTTTCTGCCAGTGTCTGTTATGACCAAAAAGAGCTTCTGGATATCAGGACAGCGAAGGATATCCTACAGACACCCGACAAGGCCCAAATCCCCGTCATTCGCAGATATCGTGGACGTAGGTCGGGGTGCCTTGTAAGGATCCGACGGCGAACGAGTAAATTGCCTCTTCCATCAATCCTACTAGCCAATGTTCAATCATTTGAAAATAAGGTAGACGACCTAAGATTACGGTTATCCTACCAACGGTACATAAAAAACTGTAATATCTTATGTTTCACCGAGTCGTGGCTGAACAACGACATTGATAACATATAGCTGGCGGGATATACGCTACATCGTCAGGCTAGAACGGCTGACTCCGGTAAGACAAGGGGTGGTGGTCTGTGTATATTTGTAAACAACAGCTGGTGCAAAAAATCTAATACTAAGGAAGTCTCAAGGTTTTGCTCGCCTGAGGTAGAGTATCTCATGATAAGCTGTAAACCACACTATTTACCAAGAGAGTTTTCTTCTATATTTTTCGTAGCTGTCTATATACCACCACAAACCAATGCTGGCACTAAGACTGTACTCAATGAGCTGTATAAGGCCATAAGTAAACAGGAAAACAGTCATCCAGAGGCAGTGCTCCTAGTGGCCGGGGACTTTAATGCAGGGAAACTTAAATCCGTTCTACCTAATTTCTACCAGCATGTTAAATGTGCAACCAGAGGACAAAACAACTCTAGACCACCTTTACTCCACACAAAGATGCATACAAAGCTCTCCCTCACCCTCCATTTGGCAAATCTGACCATAACTCTATCCTGATTCCTGCTTATAAGCAAAAACTAAAGCAGGAAGCACCAGTGACTCGGTTAATAAAAAAGTGGTCAGATGACGCAGATGCTAAGCTAAATAACTGTTTTGCTAGCAAAGACTGGAATATGTTCCGGGATTCTTCAGATAGCATTGAGGAGTACGCCACATCAGTCACTGGCTTCATCAATAAGTGCATCGATGACGTCGTCCCCACAGTGACCGTACATACCCCAACCAGAAGCCATGGATTACAGGCAACATCCGCACTGAGCTAAAGGCTAGAGCTACCGCTTTCAAGGAGCGAGACTCTAACCCGGACGCTTATAAGAAATCCTGCTATGCCCTCCGACGAACCATCAAACAGGCAAAGAGTCAATACAGGACTAAGATTGAATCGTACTACACCGGCTCTGACGCTCGTCGGATGTGGCAGGGCTTTAAAACTATTACAGACTACAAAGGGAAGCACAGACGCAAGCTGCCCAGTGACACAAGCCTACCAGATGAGCTAAATCACTTATATGCTCGCTTCGAGGCAAGCAACACTGAATCATGCATGAGAGCACCAGCTGTTCCGGATGACTATGTGATCACGCTCTCCGTAGCCGATGTGAGTAAGACCTTTAAGCAGGTCAACATTCACAAGGCCGCAGAGCCAGACGGATTACCAGGACGTGTACTCCGAGCATGTGCTGACCAACTGGCAAGTGTCTTCACTGACATTTTCAACATGTCCCTGACTGAGTCTGTAATACCAACATGTTTCAAGCAGACCACCATAGTCCCTGTGCTCAAGGACACTAAGATAACCTGCCTAAATGACTACCGACCCGTAGCACTCACGTCTGTAGCCTTGAAGTGCTTTGAAAGGCTGGTCATGGCTCACATCAACACCATTATTCCAGAAACCATAGACCCACTCCAATTTGCATACCGCCCCAACAGATCCACAGATGATGCAATCTCTATTGCACTCCACACTGCCCTTTCCCACCTGGACAAGAGGAACACCTACGTGAGAATGCTATTCATTGACTACAGCTCAGCATTCAACACCATAGTACCCTCAAACTCATCACTAAGCTAAGGATCCTGGGACTAAACACCTCCCTCTGCAACTGGATCCTGGACTTCCTGACGGGCCGCCCCCAAGTGGTAAGGGTAGGTAACAACACATCTGCCACGCTGATCCTCAACACGGTGGCCCCTCAGGGGTGCGTGCTCAGTCCCCTCCTGTACTCCCTGTTCACTTATGACTGCATGGCCAAGCACGACTCTAACATCTTCATTAAGTTTGCCGACGACACAACACAGTGGTAGGCCTAATCACAGACAATGATGACACAGCCTATAGGGAGGAGGTCAGAGACCTGGCTGTTTGGTGCCAGGATAACAACCTCTCCCTCAACGTGATCAAGACAAAGGAGATGATTGTGGACTACAGGAAAAAAAAGAGGACTGAGCACGCCCCCATTCTCATCGACGGGGCTGTAGTGGAACAGGTTGAGAGCTTCAAGTTCCTTGGTGTCCACATCACCAACGAACTATCATGGTCTAAACACACCAAGACAGTTGTGAAGAGGGCACGACAAAGCATATTCCCCCTCAGGAGACTGAAAACATTTGTCATGGGTCCTCAGATCCTCAAAAGGTTCTACAGCTGCACCATCGAGAGCATCCTGACTGGTTGCATCACCGCCTGGTATGGCAACTGCTTGGCCACCGACCGCAAGGCACTACACAGTACACGTCCTGGCCCCGTGTAGCTCAGTTGGTAGAGCATGGCGTTTGCAATGCCAGGGTTCGTTTCCCACGGGGGGGCAGTATGAAAATGTATGCACTCACTAACTGTAAGTTGCTCTGGATAAGAGCGTCTGCTAAATGACTAAAATGTCAAATGTAGTGCGTACGGCCCAGTACATCACTGGAGCCAAGCTTCCTGCCATCCAGGACCTCTATACCAGGCGGTGTCAGAGGAAAGCCCTCAAAATTTACAAAGACTCCAGCCACCCTAGTCATAGACTGTTCTCGCTGCTACCGCACGGCAAGCGGTACCAGAGCACCAAGTC